GGAGAGTATTTTTATTTTTTTTTTTACATAGGAAAACAATTGCATCCACAAACGTGTGAGAGCTAAAACAGAATTAAGCAAATAACCTTAGAAGAGACCCAAAATGGTTCGGATATTTGCTGGGTGGATATTGTGGGATTTATAATCATAGAATCATAGAATGGTTAGGGCTGGAAGGGACCTTCAAAGGCCATCTAGTCCAACCCCCCTGCAAGGAACAGGGATATCTCCAACTAGATCAGGTTGCTCAGGGCCTCGTCCAACCTGGCCTTGAACGTCTCCAGGGATGGAGCATCCACCACCTCTCTGGGCAACCTGTTCCAGTGTTCTACAACTCTCATGGTAAAAAATTTTTTCCTAATATCCAACCTGAATCTACCTCCCTCTATTTTAAAACCATTACCCCTTGTCCTATCACAACTGGCCCTCCTGAACAGCCTCTCCCCATCTTTCTTGTAGGCCCCCTTGAGGTACTGGAAGACCGCTATAAGGTCACCCCGGAGCCTCCTCTTCTCCAGGCTGAACAGCCCCAACTAAAACAAGATCCTTTTTCCTTTCAGTCTGCAATGACCTCCCAGGGCCACCCCATGAATGCATTTGCCTCCTCCCCCTAATTCCCCATCGCAGAGGGAACCCACTTCCCAGATCCACCAGGATCTGGTGCTTGCTCAACCTCCGGCAGAGATGGATCCCTCTCAGCACCGGCAGGTCCTCGTCTGGCACAGGGTCTGGATCATCCCTAGGCACCTCTGTGGCATCCAGAGCCAAGCCCTGGCACACGGCCCCCGGCTCCGGCTGCCATCCGCACACCCACGCTCCTCGCGGGCCCCATCGCACTCGGATGCAGACACGCTACAACCCCCCTGCTCAACCCCAGCAGCACAGACATGGGCCAAAGGACGGAGATTTCCACCTCACATCTTGCACGTGCACTTTAAGCCTCCTGAAGATCGCTGCTCCGGTGAGGAATCCCGACTCCAGCGCCCCACAGCCCCTGCCTGGGTTTTATCACTTAACTGTTCCATCTAATTAATGGCAGTTTTGTGCCTGGCAACTCTGCTCCTGGCCTTCAGCCCATTATTTTGATCTTCCTTTACTTGGAATTGGTCTGGGTAGCTCATTTTCGGTGTGCAGTTGGGTTTTGAAAGAAATTGCTTAAAAAAAAAAAAAAGGAAAAGGAAGCTTTATTGTACGGGTCTAGGCTGTGGACTGCAACCGTATGGTGTATGAAGAACAAACTGGACCCATCTCTGGGTCAACAGCTCTGAGCTTGCTGTGTCCTGGGCATCTCATGACACCCAATCCACCTGCAAAAACTGGATTTCAACATCTGGGTTTGGGGGTCAGTGCTTTCCCCACCTTGTCCCAGGTGGAGAAGCCCAGGGCAGAGGGCAGGAGCACGCAGCGCTCCGTGGGCGTGATCTGCACGTGCTGCACAGATGGGAGAGAGGAAAAAGGGTCTTTAATGAAATATTCTGCTCCCTCCTTACCAAAGCAGCACCCCCACCTGCCCAGCACACAGCCTCACTCTTGGTGGCACGCAGGGATGTGTCACTTCTTGGTGTGTTTTCCCCATTTCAGCACGGTGCAGGGACCAGAGGATGGGGTGCAGAAGGGTTTGGAAATGGGGAACAGATGGGTCACAAATGGGGCACAGATGGCTCACACATGGGGCACAGATGGGTCACATCCCCTCTGCAGTCCTTCTGCAGCACCTCTGACAATTCTGCTCCTCGCAGGGCGGAGGAAAATGGGCTGCTTGGTTGTGAGTTTAGAGATTATCTGATTAGATGGAGCACTGAACGCTTATGCTTTACTGCTTTGAATGGGGACTTGGCAAACTTGTGGTTTGCAGGAGACTGGAGACTGATTTACCTTTATTGACCTTTGCCAGATGAGATTCTCCGGTGGTACAAGGGATAGACAAGCGCAGCTGATATGTAACACGCACAGCTTTGGATCTTGATTTGCACCCAAATGAAAGAGTACTTTCAAATGACAAACACCCCTGAGGACTAAATACTGCCTCTGAGCTGAGCACACCAGACATGCACGACACACACCCATCACTGCGCACCCGTGTCTGCACAGGACACGGAGTCCCACGCCAGGAGAGAGCTGATAAATCACAACCTTCTTCTAGTATCTTTTTTATTTTCCTATTAAGTTCCAGGAGCATCCCTGCTGCTTTGAATCCCTTTGGTACTATAACACACCTTAAACAAAAAATAAAAAATAAAAGGGGGGGAAAGAACAGAACAAACATGTTCACAAAAGTTTCTGGTCCTTGCACCGTGGGAAGGAAGGTGGGAAGACGCAGGAAATATTAGGAAGGCACAGATATCTAATGGATCAAGTATTTTCTCTTTAGTCCCTGTGACCAGCTTACAAGGCTGTATTAAAAACCAATCTGTCCACAGATTTGAGGCGATGGTGGATACACAGGGACTTTAGTTCTAGCACCACTAAAAAGCACCTCCAAAGAGCGACGAAACCAGAAGACCTGTTCAGGAGAGCTGGTGACACAGTCCTGGTTTCGCTGCAGAGCACCTGGGAGCAATAAACACCAAGAGCCCTGTGTCAAACGCTGCACGTCGTGTTCTCCGCACTAATTGACAGAAACCAGCAGCTCCCCTCCACTAATGAGAGCGCCCATTACACCTAATTATCTGAGGTTCTGTTCCAGGTCCTGTTACGTTTCCACTCAAAATACATCTCCAGCAAAAAAAGCCTTTTGGGGAAAAAAAAAAAAAAAAATAAAAGGAAGAGAAACATAAATCCAATTAATCCCTCAAAGGGGCAGAAAATTGGAGAGTGTGGGTCATGGCGAGGAAAATGTTTTGGAGCACTGGGAATGTAGCGGTAGGTCGCTCGCAGGGTCCGTACCCGAGGATGCACCAGGCATTGCCCACGGCCTGGCAAAGCCCAGCAGTTGATGTTGGCACCGCTGCGTCTGCCGCCCCCTCCTGCAGCACCCAAACAGCCCGGAGCCTTCCCGAAGCCTCGGGTTCACCTCCCCCGCTGCTGGCAGGGACTGCCAGCCCAGCCCAGGGCCCTGAGGTTCCTCTTGCTCCTTCTGTTGGCATGAGAAGATGGCTGGGGGGTTGTTTTGGGGTTTGTGTTTATTTAATTTTTTTTTTTTTTTTTAAGATTTCTCCAGATGCTTCCGGGCACCGCAGTGCATTTGAGAGGTTCTGCTTCTCAATGAATTGTTTCAGTGGGGTGTCCATGGGATATTTTGGACAAGGGGTGGTGGATGGTGACAGCATCACGTGGGAAGAGGAGAAGAGCAGAACAGTGGCACTACAGCGGCTTCAATCACCCTCCGTTTCCTGGGGACTGCAGAAGAAAGTGGCATCTCAGCAGACACCTGGTCTGTCACCATCGAAGAGGGCAGAGCCCGTCCCTGGAGGTTGACAAGCGCAGGGATGATCCAGGGGCTCGTGGACGGTCAGTGCAGAGGGTTCAGGACAGTTGCCCTGAGACACGGAGCGGAACAGGAGGTGCGAGAGGAGGAAGAGCATCGTGGGGTCTCGTGGCTGCTGTTTCCGAGCCCTGCAGGACTGGGTGGGACTGGCTGGTGGAGAGCAGGAGCGCAGGTCACAGGGCACCTGGAATGGCACAGGAAAGCAGGAAAACTCTACGGGAGGCAGCTGGAGGCAGAGCGAGCTGTTTGTACAGGGTCTGGCAGGGGGGCACACACAGCTGCAGCACAAGAACAGCAGCTGCCCTCCAAAACCACAGAAATGCTTTTCAGGGACCTTGTAAACCTTTGAGTGCTCTTCAAGGATCTGCAAACGGTGGCAAGGAAAAGTCAACTCATGTGTCACACTGCAATTCATGTCAAGTTTCTAAAGGGGAATCGCTGTTCAACTGGAAAATCTATAAGGACCAGCACACCAAATCAGACTGGAAAACAGAGTGGCCAGTCTACAGGCTTCCCCCTCTGCTTTCTGCTGAGACTGTCAGCACAGACCAGCCTTTGCTTGCCCTCTCCTGTAATCCAGCTTCCAGAGGATGCTCTTTCTAGTACAGACTGCCTGGCAGAACAATGCTTCTGCATAACTCTTCTGCTCCTGTCCCTGGAGTAATCATCTGCAACACGTAAAAAGCATTAAACACCACCTCCAGACTGGCAGGTGCCAGCGAGTTGTTCACTCTCTCTGCCAAGGCTGCAGGGATCTCCACGGAATGTGGGATGAAGGAACTCAGTCTGTGCTCTCCGTGCCCCTACAGACAGGTGAGCAGAGGTCTGGCAGCTTTCTGCCACCACCCTGACCCCACCGCAGCCGAGCAGCAGCAGGAGTCCCCGGGCTGGCAGGGGCTGACATGGCTTTAAACATGCACTTGAACATCATCACTCCCTCGTCAGGAGCTGAGCAAACAGAGTGAATGGTGCTTTCAGAAGAAAGGTGCACGGTGACTCAGTCGTTGAGGGGAAATCTCTGTCAACGTGTACGCAAATGATGGATTGCTCCATTTGCCCAGATGTCCTTGTTACCCTGAGGAGGAACCAGTCTATCTACTCCATCACCACGCTTTGTGATACCTCTCCCCACAAAGGTCCTTTGGAGGCTGTTGGATTTGGGGTTATGATATTAAGCGCTGCTAGAAGAAACCTACCCAGAGTCCCAGGAGAATAGGCCTGGGAGACCTCACCCAGTCCACCAAGTCCATCCTATACTTATGTCTTTCCCCATCTTTGCCAAACCAGTTCTTAAAAGACCTCCAAGAACGGATACGCCACAACGTTCCCAGACAACCCATTCCAGTGAGTCACTCATCATTACTGGTAGGAATGAGTGTCTAACCTGCTGTGTTTAAGCCTATTACCTCTCGTCCCATTCATCACTGGGTTGCTCCATTCCTTTCTGCAAGACTCTTCTGCGTGTGAAGACTACTGAGGTGTCCCACCACACGCTCAGCAGCACTGCACTGATCCACCTCTTAGACTCCAGCCCAGAACAAACACACTGACCTTATATGAACAGACAACATGGTCATCTTTTTCTCCACTGTTGTCCAGTCTTCTTTCCCTGTCCATGCGTGCTGGTGCTCCTGTGCTGCCACCTCAGCTGGCTCTCTAGTGCATTCACCTGGTGTGGACAAGATAATGGCAGCTCTAAGAGGACTCTGCACCATTGTACAGATAACGTTTAACCTGTCCCAAATGTAAGAAGAAAGTGTTGGCTCAAGTTACCTTCACTGAGGCTCAAACTTGCGTTTTACCCTGCAGTTGTGGAGGTCTGAGCTCACAGAGCTCAGCTTCATCTCTTCTCTCCCTATTCTACCTCTTCCGTACCTGCTGCTAGTTCCCTCTGAAGGGACGGTTGCTCCTGGCTCTGGAGGGCACAGAGGTCGCAGAGGCTGCCCGTAGCAAAAAGCTAAATCCTGCTCCTGGGGAGGCTCCATGGAAGACAAACATTGGGCACAAAGTTTTACCTGTTTCCGTAGGGAAGCAACTGTCTTCTCCAGTTCAGCCACAAAGGACTCGAGACTCTCTCTGGAGGAAGGGCTGGGAGAAGGCGCCTCATTTCTGGGGTCAGGGATAAAAAGTGAAAGGGATTATGAAAACGTCAGCTTCCTGGATGAGAGAATCAGTCGCCTTCTCCAACACCAGCCTCCAAGTAAGTATCAAACAGAAGGGCCCAACTCCCAGATTCACCTGCCAAGAGATGCCAACCAAACAACCACTCAGTCCAGGTATTTAAATATCAGAGTCCAGCTCTGCACTAAAGTGTTGGAGGACTTTAACCGAGCTCAGCATCTATCTACTGAAACACCCCTGACTTCCAGACCTCTGCAGAATGCCAATTTCAGAGGCCTGAACGGACTGAGCTATTAAAAACTTCTCTTAAGCTTCATAAAACAGAGGTAAAAGAAGTGGTGATACCACACCTGGGGAAGGCAGGCTTATGCTTGGCTGGGTTTTCTTCTGGGTAGCTGAAGCCAGGAGACCTCTTGCTTCGGAACCGTTGAGAAAGAGCCCTGAATTGCCCGCGCGTCCGGCAGTCTTGGGGAAGAAGGGAAAGTCCACAGTGAGCACTCGTGTTTAAAGCAGAACCATGTGGATTGAAGCGTGAAGGAGGCGGCGCTGCCCTCCTTCACCACCCACCCTTGACACATCGCTTGTGCCGGAGGGGAGGAGGAAACAAAGGTGTGTAACAGGGCATGCATCATGCATGGATTCCCACGGCTCAGCTGGACATCTGTAGCCAGAATACAGCACAAAGTGTCCATGGCAGGATCTGTGGTTCAATGGCAGAGCTTTACAGACTCCCAAACGACTCGGTAAAGTGGTATGTGGTGGGGATCACCAAGCCTACCTCCTGTTTCGGTTTCTCCTCCTAAGCATGAGCTGTTGGTTGCTGTCAGAGACAGAAGCCCTCAGGCTAGGTGGACCTTCGGCCACATTCAATGAAGCTAACAGGCTTCCTAGAGAGGTGGTCGATGCCCCATGCCTGACAGTGTTTAAGAGGCATTTGGACAATGCCCTTAATAATTTGCTTTAACTTTTGGTTAGCCCTGAATTGGTCAGGCAGTTGGACTAGATCATCATTGTAGGTCCCTTCCAACTGAAATAGCCTACCCTACCCTATTCTATATTCTATTCTATTCCATTCCATTCCATATTCTATTCTGTATTCTCTATTCTATCCTATATTCTGTTATCTATTCCATTCTCTTCTCTCTATTCTATTATCTTCTCTCCTATTCTCCTATTCTATTCTATTCTGTTCCATTCTATTCTACTCCATTCTTCTATGCTACTCCATTCTACTCCATTCTTCTATTCTTCTATGCTACTCCATTCTTCTATGCTACTCCATTCTTCTATGCTACTCCATTCTTCTATGCTACTCCATTCTTCTATGCTACTCCATTCTTCTATGCTACTCCATTCTTCTATGCTACTCCATTCTTCTATGCTACTCCATTCTTCTATGCTACTCCATTCTTCTATGCTACTCCATTCTTCTATGCTACTCCATTCTTCTATGCTACTCCATTCTTCTATGCTACTCCATTCTTCTATGCTACTCCATTCTTCTATGCTACTCCATTCTTCTATGCTACTCCATTCTTCTATGCTACTCCATTCTTCTATGCTACTCCC